CAGAGACAATTTTGCAGACCACTTCCTATGTTTTGACAGAATTTGTTCATTTGTTTTAGAAACAACCCTACAGTTAGCACAATTCCACCTGGGAAGGACCATGTGTGCTGTCTTCCTCTCCCAGGCCCTGGAAAGATCAAGAAACATAATGACTGTAAATATTTTAGAAACTCTGTGTCCGCAGCAATGACTGCATTTTAAAACTTTGATGGCCATTTATGATTTACATGAGCATTTTAAAGGGTAAATTTCAGATCACAGCAACTCATCTGTTAATTGCCAAGAGCTCATTTGAAGATGTGGTTTGAAGGCCTCTTATAGGAATTTGGAACAGAACAGGATGTCCTAGAAAGTGAAGCCGAGTTTCTCCCAACGTGTCATACAGGTACAACACTATCATCTTGCTGTAAATTAATGGCAATAAAGGCAGTAAGGAAAAAGAGACACAAATGCCTTAAATTCTGAATAGCAATCTCTGACTTGAAGTTTGTGTTTGTGTGGCAGACTGTCGTAGCCAATCCCAAACACTGCATTTCTACATGCATTAAAGCAGCCGCCCTTGTGGCAGCACATATTTTATACTCCTCTCTGTCCTGAAACCCCACACTTTTCCATTTCTATGACACTTTACTGCCTCTTCATTATATACCCAGGAAGCAATGTCGATGGATTAGCATCCCATCCAAAACAGAAACCGGCATCATCTCAGACTCACGCAATTTACAACAACTGCTAACTGGCATACTTTTTTTAGTCCCACTCTTCCTTTTTTAAAAATAAACCCTAAGAAAATACAATCCCGAAGGCCTAACAGGCACACATTTGCAGATGGCAGCAGTGGGTCATAAATGACATCTTTTCCTGGTACTATTTATAAGAGCCAAATAAACTGAACATATTATGAGCCATTTATAACGTTCTTCAGCAGAGCAGTCAGCCAAGAGACAGAGCTGAAAGCCTGTTGTAACAAAAGGTATCAAAGTGAGGAGGAGAACAGTATCTATAATTACTCCTCCGGTGATAAAACAAGCATAGTATAGCAGATGGGTTTAACACAAGATCACTATTAAATGAAATACTGGCTTGAATGCCAAGGAATGAATATTCAAGAGGGAGTGAATTGAGTGAAAGTGTTTAAAGGCAGCAAACGTAGCTCAGCTAACCTAGAAGTTACTTGCAACTTGAACCAAAAAGATCAAAACCCACATAATTCTCCACGCTGGTTCATCAGCCCCTCTGTAGTCAAAAACTTTCAAGGTATTATTAATCAATGCTTACACAAATGACAGGATTGAGCACACTGATGGCACAGAATCCTGACCATGTAACACTGATTAAAAAAAGAAGTAGAATTCAAAACCAAAACAAAAACCCAACACTAACAATATCAATTTGCAGATATTTTTCACTAACCACTTCATAAACTTTTCAGTTCATCAGAAACACATTCTAATTAATCTTTTTGGCAGCTTCATAGTTGTAGAACATTGACAAAACGTGAGTCAAGTTACAATCTAAAAACGGTTTCATTTCATTTTTAGATGTTTTGAAACATATTTTATGGTCAGAAGTAAGGCTGGAATTAACTAATGGGAATAAGGCTGCACCATGGAATACGGCTGCAATGCTGATGCTTTAGAGCAGGGCTCCAGCTCCCAGTGGGTTTGGAAGCAGTAGAAAGGATGCCACCACTAACAAGGCATTTTGAGTAACTTTTTTTTTTGGTCAACTTGCAGTGTTTTTTAAATTAAGTGTTTCTGTAAAATCTCCTTTCAGTATTAACTATGTAATATCTTCTTTAGCTTGAGACTCAACACTTCAAAAGCTTGAGATTCATCTAATCAGGTCTCTAAACTAATTTAAACTATGCTGTAACATGAACAAGGAGAGGACAAACTGTAGTAAGAGCAGAAGATACAAATTCAGAACCAATGTATACCATCACAATATAATTCCAGAGTAAAAACGCACTGAACATGATAAAAGATTCAAACCTAAAATATCCACTTTCTCAGTGACCCAATCATCAGACAAATCCCTCTGCAGATGCTGTGACTGGAAATACAAACCATTCACCGGCGACTCTCAAGCTGCCTGGGCTGCCAGCAGGTTCGCTGAAGTATCGGGAAAACATGAGTGGGGCCTGATAAACTATAGAATGTTTAAAAGTTATCTTAAAAAAAACCTATTTAGACAGTTTTGCAATCCTTAAGTTAACAGTCTTTACACATTTAAAGAACTAAGATATGGGAGACATATAGTCTTGGTGATATGTATGTATATATGCACATATATAAATACATATATATATGGCACCAACGATCACAACAACAGCAATAGAGCAGTTGCTGCCTTGTCTTGATTTTATGTTATGAAGGACCAATGATACAAAACAAAGGTGTGGTAACAAACCCTGCTTCACCTAAACCTTTATCTTCTGATTATTTTGGGGAAAGAAAATTTTATATTAGAAAACTGGGGACCTGTGCTTTAAGGCTTG